TGGCTGTATTTCAAGGAATCCCTGTTGAGGTTACAGGGACAAACCATCCCGATGAGTCGAAAGAATAGTAAATATGGCAGGCAACCAGCTTGGCTTAATGGTGAAATCCTAGCGGATCTTAAACATAAAAAAGAAGCTTACAAGAAGTGGAAGGTTGGACATATGACCAGGGAAGAGTATAAAAATATTGCTCGGGCATGTAGGAATGATATCAGGAGGGCCAAATCGCACTTGGAGCTGCAACTAGCAAGAGATGTTAAGAGTAAGAAGAAGGGTTTCTTCAGGTATGTTGGCAACAAGAAGAAAGCCAAGGAAAGTGTGGGCCCCTTACTGAATGAGGGAGGCAACCTAGTGACAGAGGATGTGGAAAAAGCTAATGTACTCAATGCTTTTTTTGCCTCTGTCTTCACTAACAAGGTCAGCTCCCAGACTGCTGCGCTGGGCATCACAAAATGGGGAAGAGATGACCAGCCCTCTGTGGAGATAGAGGTAGTTAGGCACTATTTAGAAAAGCTGGACGTGCACAAGTCCATGGGGCCGGATGAGTTGCATCCGAGAGTGCTGAAGGAACTGGCGGCTGTGATTGCAGAGCCATTGGCCATTATCTTTGAAAACTCGTGGCGAACGGGGGAAGTCCCGGATGACTGGACAAAGGCTAATGTAGTGCCAATCTTTAAAAAAGGGAAGAAGGAGGATCCTGGGAACTACAGGCCAGTCAGCCTCACCTCAGTCCCTGGAAAAATCATGGAGCAGGTCCTCAAAGAATCAATCCTGAAGCACTTGCATGAGAGGAAAGTGATCAGGAACAGTCAGCATGGATTCACCAAGGGAAGGTCATGCCTGACTAATCTAATCGCCTTCTATGATGAGATTACTGGTTCTGTGGATGAAGGGAAAGCAGTGGATGTATTGTTTCTTGACTTTATCAAAGCTTTTGACACGGTCTCCCACAGTATTCTTGTCAGCAAGTTAAGGAAGTATGGGCTCGATGAATGCACTATAAGGTGGGTAGAAAGTTGGCTAGATTGTCGGGCTCAACGGGTAGTGATCAATGGCTCCATGTCTAGTTGGCGGCCGGTGTCAAGTGGAGTGCCCCAGGGGTCGGTCCTGGGGCCGGTTTTGTTCAATATCTTCATAAACGATCTGGAGGATGGTGTGGATTGCACTCTCAGCAAATTTGCGGATGATACTAAACTGGGAGGAGTGGTAGATACGCTGGAGGGGAGGGATAGGATACAGAAGGACCTAGACAAATAGGAGGATTGGGCCAAAAGAAATCTGATGAGGTTCAATAAGGATAAGTGCAGGGTCCTGCACTTAGGACGGAAGAATCCAATGCACAGCTACAGACTAGGGGCCGAATGGCTAGGCAGCAGTTCTGCGGAAAAGGACCTAGGGGTGACAGTGGACGAGAAGCTGGATATGAGTCAGCAGTGTGCCCTTGTTGCCAAGAAGGCCAATGGCATTTTGGGATGTATAAGTAGGGGCATAGCGAGCAGATCGAGGGACGTGATCGTTCCCCTCTATTCAACATTGGTGAGGCCTCATCTGGAGTACTGTGTCCAGTTTTGGGCCCCACACTACAAGAAGGATGTGGATAAATTGGAGAGAGTCCAGCGAAGGGCAACAAAAATGATTAGGGGTCTAGAACACATGACTTATGAGGAGAGGCTGAGGGAGCTGGGATTGTTTAGTCTGCAGAAGAGAAGAATGAGGGGGGATTTGATAGCTGCTTTCAACTACCTGAAAGGGGGTTCCAAAGAGGATGGCTCTAGACTGTTCTCAATGGTAGCAGATGACAGAACGAGGAGTAATGGTCTCAAGTTGCAGTGGGGGAGGTTTAGACTGGATATTAGGAAAAACTTTTTCACTAGGAGGGTGGTGAAACACTGGAATGCGTTACCTAGGGAGGTGGTAGAATCTCCTTCCTTAGAGGTTTTTAAGGTCAGGCTTGACAAAGCCCTGGCTGGGATGATTTAACTGGGAATTGGTCCTGCTTCGAGCAGGGGGTTGGACTAGAAAACCTTTTGGGGTCCCTTCCAACCCTGATATTCTATGATTCTATGGTACGCAGAGCCCTGGCATGCTGTCTGTAATTATATCAGACGCAATCTTTGTTCCAGAAGGGTTCCGTTGCTCAGTGCTCCCTTTGCTGTGTATGATCTTTGTCAGAGAAGGGTGCAGATGAGTGATCACAGGATTACCCTTCTCTGTGTGTGTGTGTATCTGGCAAAGGGCATTGCAGTGTACCAAGTACCCAGGCATCCGACACCTTGTCACCACTTTGAAAGGGGAACGGGGAGAGAGAGACAGGAACATCCTATAGCAGGGATAAGGGAAGGAGGTTTAGTAAAGCTGCCCCACTCAGCAATTAGGAAAAGAGCTGGGGGAGGAAAAGATCTCACCCCCAACCGCTCCCACCATGCCAGGAAAGGGAAAATGCATTACAGTTCCCATCATTCCAGACAAAGCCAATAACTACAGACAGAAAGCTCAGTGCCCACACATCCAAGCATTAGGGATAGTTGCGAGGAAGAAGGGAATGGTAGTGCTGGGCTTCCCACCAGGTGTTAACCCTGACCAGATTGTCTCTATGAGCTTTGGGTAGCAGGTTTTGACATTTGGCTAACAGATGTCTGGCAAACTGAGTTCTCCACTACAGCATTTAAAAGAGCTATACTTATTTAAAATACTTTTAAATATGTCTCCAATTCTGGCATTCACCTCTGATGTCCTTGTTATATATGTAAATAGTGAAAAGACTGCATGAGGAGGGCAATGAAACAGTCTAGCCCAGGCTTGATCAGAAAAAAACCTATATACCTTTAAAAAGAAAGAACTACTATTTGAACAGAAATGCAGGATGTGTACTGAAAATGCAGGTCTTTATTAATACATAAATTATGTGTGTAAACACTGCACTTTTAAAAACAGTTTCTGCAGAAAAGAATTGTTAAGCTGTGAAGTGAGGCCCTGTTTTGTAAAGTCAGCTCAGGCGGACAGCTCTTTACCATGCTAATAAATGCATGTCTATTTGGAAGATAAGCTCTTTTTAAAATGCACAGCATGAATGGGGAGCAAAATGATGAAAAGGTTGATCAGTTATACAGAGGGACTTTTTCTTACTACATTTAATTTTAAAGGAAACAGTCCTTATTTCCACCATAAAGAAGAAGAAGAAAAAATCTATTAAAAGCCATTTAAAAAAAATCTCCATAATATGAAATTATCATAAAGGCTGCATTTTGTAAGTGGAATTACCAATTACCTCGAGAACGTCAAACACATTTAAGAAATGCTAATATGACTTCCTTTTGAAACAGAATTTAAAAGCAATTTGGGGGCAGAGGCTTGCGAGGTTTAATATTTTATGAAAAATTAATTTGTCATTCAAAGTAAATCATGAACAGCTCTGTCCAAAGCTGTTTGCGCCCATTTTGGAGTTGACCGCCAGTGGCTGCAGAAGGAACTCAAAAGCAATGGTTGCCTAATGTGATATTGTAGGCTGACTGCAGATAAAGTCCTGTTCTTTAGGGAAGGAGAAATATTATGTATTTCAATTCTATCCATTCCCCCTTTATAGAAACTGTATTACTTCCAATGTGCAGTGCTCAACTTGTGGGACACAATGGTGTGCCTGCTGAGAGCTCCAAAATCCTGGGTCATCAGGGCCCAGCAGGAGTCTTGGGAGGAGGCAAAGCAAGAAGCAGCTCACTCCCAGCATCTACTCCTGCAGTTCCCATGCCTTCCTGACCACCACCCAATTTTGTTCACATTGCTGTTAAGTTTCTCAAAAAACATGTCACACATCCTGTAGGACAGGGATTCTCAAACTGGGGGTCGGGACCCCACAGGTGGTCGCGAGGTAATTACATGGGGGGTGGCAAGCTGTCAGCCTCCACCACAAAACCTGCTTTGTCTCCAGCATTTATAAAACGGTGTTAAATATATAAACAAGTGTTTTTAATTCGGGGTGAGGGTGGGGGCTCAGAGGCTTTGTGACCAGTACAAAAGTTTCAGAATCTCTGCTATAGGACAAGATGTTTCTTGCTGTGCATGATCCTTAATACTTTATCATCATTTACTAGAAAGCCATTTTACTAGATAAAAGCAAGAGAGGACATTCTCAGTCTCCACACATTTATCTGTAGCCACTCTCTTTCTTGTACACAAACTTTAAAAAAAAAATAAACCAAAGCTCCCCAAATCTTCAACTATCAGTCTGGCATACACTGTAGTAAAACTTGCCTTGTTTACACTAGAGTTTAAGATGATGTTACTTGGATTGTACTAGCTAACATGATACACAACTTTCCCCATAAATCCTAGACTAGACTAAAACTGGTCCATAATTTTCATCTGAATGATTTTCCGAATGAAACATGCCCACTTCACAAAAATCAAGATTTCTTAAGAGAATATTTCAATTTTTCTGAAAGATTTTGATTTTCTATTGGTAAAAAAAAATCAGAATGGCAGCTGCCTGGCTGCCCACCTGGAAGGCTGTTATTTTCACTTTTGGCAAGTGAAATTGGCAAAAGTTTTCACAGAGGGCTGCCAAGGCAGAGTGCCAGGGCACTGTTTCCCACACCAGCTCCAGGCGACAGTCAGAGCCATGGCTTTCTGCCTCTCCAGTTCCAGGAGCTGCAGGTGCAGGCTGAGTGTCCAGGCTCTCTACCTCTGTGGCAATTCAGCAACTGACAAGTGCAGGCAACGAGAAAGCTAAAAAATTCCATTTCAGTTCCCTTGAAACAGGTTTTTTTTTAAAAAAAACACAAAATTTTTCAGAGGAAAAGGATTCCCTTTTTTTCAGCCAGCTCTAGACAAAGCTCTCTCCCCCACTTTCATCTGATCCTAAATGGTTCTATAATACCCTGGGCAAGTCAGTTACACTATCTAAGTAAGCCAAGGAATCAGTTACTTGACACATCCTATATTGACAACCATAAGGAATACACAATGAGTTCAGCCTTTAGCACTAGAATTAAAAATCAAAATACCCTTTGCATCGTCAGAGCCTGAAGCCAGTAGTTTAGGGTCCATCAAGTTAAAGTCAACACTCCAGCATCTTTTTTCATGCTCCTGTTTTGAGAAAGAGGAAAATATTTGGAATGTAGTACATTATAATTCCCAGCGCTAAAATACGCAGTAAAGCAAAACAAATGCAGTTTGGATGAATTAAGATGGAATTTCTGGATATGGACATTCACTATGTATAGCAATGATCTTAAATACATTTTTCTCTCACACAAACTAATGCTTGTGTGGTTTAAGAGAAGCCCCAAAAGATGGCAACACTAGCAAGTTACATCCAGGGGTGGGTTTTTTTTTTTTAAAAGTACTGCTTATTTGCTTATCTCAGAGGAGACTTCTCATGACAGTATATTTTGGTGTGTTACTACTCCCTTGTGGCCCTTCATTCTCTGAGCAAAAAAAATGCATGAATTTTCTAAATACTATTAAAATGCATCTTTCAACAAGGAGATTATTGAATTTGTTTAGAAAGTCCAGAAAGAGGAGTATTGTTCACTCAGGTATTAAAAGTTTAAGTGGTCACAGGAACTGTAGTTTATCACGCATATACACGTGTCATTTCAAGTCTGAATGCTGTTTCCTTATAAGTGATGAGGAAGGTTTAATATACTAGCTCCGTAACATTCTGTTAAATGAAACTTGAAGGTTAGTCAAGTCATTTCAAACCTTCACAAAGCTTGAGAAGAGACGTGAAGAGGGCATGAAAAAGAACATCCAGAACAATGTTCCAAGTAGCCTTTCAAATATGTATACAGCATATGTCTGTGCACATACCTCAACTTATGAAAATCTGGAAGAAGGGACAAAAGAATCGATAGGGAGTTTAAATAATGAAGTGGAGTTCGTTTCTTTTAGTACAAGTAACAGTTGGAATATAACTCCAGTTTCATCATTTCATATTCATAATGAAAATTTATACTATATAAATAAACTGTCCTCAAATTCATTATATTAAGATTCATTGTGTCCAGTGAGATCTCTTTCTAGTTGGCATACACATGATAAAAGGATGTCAACACAGAATCTTATGATACAGATTAATACACAATAATGAGAGCTGCTGTTTAACTTAAGGAAAAAATCTTACATTCCTATTTAACTGTCAAAGAGAGATGCATGCTCTATGGCAGCAGTTCGCATCTACTCTTAAGAAGTGGTCCACCACCTCCTGTCCCAACTTCTCAGTTCCAATCACACACCTTCCTAGTGGCCCTCATTACAACTGATTAAATGGAAAAGTAACGTTAAGACAGGATTAAGGAGACAAGATGAAAATAAATTCTAATGGATAAGTGCTTGATTACATTCACCTATTCTGTGTTTGAGCTGCTAGCTTACTGTCCCACGTGCAGGGCTTTATATTTACTAGCATCAAATCTGCCCTGGCTGCCAGCAGCTCCACTACTTCAATCTTTTCAAATGACTTGGCATTTTGCTTTTCTCTCTCTACAGTGGGCGCGCTAGTCTCACTATTTTTTAGGCCTTCTGCAAATATGATCATGGTTGAATGTACAGCAACAAAACTTCTAAGAAGAAAATGAAGCAGCCATGCAGAGGTTTTTTTTTTTTTTTTTTAAATTCACATGGAAGAAAAGTCTCCAGTAACTCCTCTTCCTTTTCCCAGATCCGTGCCCCAACAGCAGGGTTTTGGCTAGCCACACAATCACTGCTTAAAGGCTGCCGTGTGCCTCACTATTGTGACAAGAAGCTATATTGGTCACTGCTGGAGAATCACGACTCAATGGAGTTATAGAAAAGTCAAAAACATGGTAACTCCCTCTTAGCCAAGGGAATTCACCGACTGTAGATGCAGCCACTTTGCCTCATGCAACCATCAATGCACTACTAGAAACACCTTAATTAGAACATTAATATGCAGACAAACCTGAAGCCATGGCCCTTGCAAAGACGAAAATGGTACTGCTTGGTGACTGCACTTTACCTGGTAGACCTTTGATCTCTGTCCTGTGAACCCATCCCACAGGATGACTGTGCCTTCATAGTCACTGCTGGCTAACAGGTTCTTGTGGTAGCTACTCCAGCTGATACAGCTTTAAAAAGAGAAAATCCCAAACAATCTTACTTTAAACTATATTCTATACACCTTAAAAATAATTATTGCAATAGCTCAAGTCAATTAGGATCTTTGCTTTGGGCTGTCCCAAAGTACACAATCTTGAATCAGTTGCCTTTTATTAAAATAATCAGAAAAGGAAAAAACAAAAAGCATCAGAAACTTGGAAAAATTTTCAGCATACAAACTACACAAGTGTTTTTAATGTCTTTGTTATGCAGTTTACCATCTCAAGATATTATTTGCAACTTATATAATGTTTTATGCTGTTTAATGCTCTGTTTCTAGGATATATGTGTTTGCACTTGCACAGAGACCCAGAATTTTAAAAAAGGAAAAACATTTTAACCTTTTAGCTCCTTAAAAGCCACAATTTAAACCATGATGCCAAAAGCAGAAGTCCACTAATGCAATCTACAGCTGTAAGATATACAACTACATTGGTACCAAAGGATTAAAAAAAAAAGCAAGGAGACTATGACCTCTTTGACACAGAAGAAACAGACTATTCATTGCATTCTCAATTTAAAGAGTGCCCTCCTCTGTCACTTGAGAAAGGAAGGTTTGAGGGAGATCTCTAAACAGGGATCAGAGAAAATACATAGGTTGTGTTTGTATTTTATATTGAATTGAGCAGTCCTGAAGGATATAGCATCGGATTAATATGGAAGAGTGAAACCTTCTAACAGGTACAACATGGACAATAATAGAGCCAGCTTCCTCTTACTGGTCTGGGAATATGCTTCAAGCCTGGTGTCCAAAAATATTTCAATAAGGGTAAGAGAATTTAGAACACACATTCACCCAATTTTTGGCCCATCTGGTGTGAAAAAGTGCCAGTTGTCAACTGTGACGCATGTAAGAGGAACTGAACGGACACTGATCCATTTCACATAGGTCACCAAATAGCTATGAGAGATTATTATAACTAGCTTAGATTATTACAGTCTTGATAAATCAGTCAGTCTATGCTAGCATTCCCATTGTTGCTGGAACGGTGTGAATGCAACGCAGGGAAATTTCTCTAAAACCGGCAGCCCAGATAGGGTCTTAGAGACTGAGTCACCATAACCCAGTTAGGGTATGTCTACTGTAGGAAAACAGGTGATGTTTTGAAGTGCGTTCGCTAGCATGTTTTAATTAACATGTTTTTTTTTTAAAATGCTATCTATAGCCTTATACACACACAGGGTTTAAGGCTTTTAAAAATGTGATTGCTAACCTGCCATTTTCTGTGTTGTTCTCAGTGTCCATTTCTTTCTCTCTATCATACGTCAACCCTTATATTATCTCTTCCACTTCTTTCCCTCCCCCATGCAGAACACCTCCTTTCTAATCTATCCCATCAATCTCACTCCTTCCACCCACCCAACCACATCTGCATCCCTGTTCACACCCTCATCTCCACCTCTTCACTCATTTGTACCACCCCCTTCATTTTTAGATTTTTCAAGCCTTAGCAGCCAGAAAACTGAACTAAGATGTAGAGTACTAATTTTAGAGGCAATGCCCAGGCAAGAATTCAAGCCACTCTTCAACACCAGCTGCTAAGAAAGAATGAAGCTTAACTGTATCTTCAGAACAGTAGCAAGCTTTTAATTAGAAAACATGTATGCCTCTGGTCCTTATAGTTGCAAAGGACCTTCAAAATGTGAATGATGCAGTGACACCTGCCTGAATCAGCAAACAGGTTGAAACAATGAAGAGAACTATCCTGTTCATTTAAAAACCCGTTAACTCTGAAGCCTAAGGACAACCATAAAACGAAGAAATTGCTGTACTAGAGCAAATTAGAACTATCTAGTCCAATATCCTGTTTCTGATAGTGGTAAGTACCAACAGCTTTAGAAAAACATTCAAGAAACTTTATAGTAGGAATTTATAGCATAATCTACCCACAGGGAAAATTCCTTCCTAACCGCCAACAGATGAGTGACTTGTGCCCTGAAGCACAATTTAAAATGTCAGCATTAATTATTTCACTGCTAATCAAATCATGTAAGAAAGGAGAAGGACAACCATATAATGAAAGCTCTGATCTATTGTGAGCTGCATGTTATATCTGTATAACAAGTGGGTGGAACTTGGGAAAGTACCACCCATAATTCTTTTCTTCCAATCTAACTCCTGGAGAAAGACAAGACAAAAGTGTTGGGCTTCCTCTAGGATGCCATCCTAGGACCCTGCTCAAGGGCTCTACCTTTTGCCACCTCCAGCTGGTAGGTGAATAAAAATCTGCTTTCCTCTCTCCTAGTTGCAGAGTGAGACTGACGTCGTTCTTGTCAGTTTCACTCCTGCCCACAACATTGGTTTTAGTAGCAATGAAAAAACTGACTAGAAGCTGGTCTGTTTTAAGTCTCATATGTCATACATCTTTAAACACAATCCTTCAAAAAAATTAAAGGGTCATAATCGACAAAAACAAATAATTTTCTTCATCTTCCTGACTTGATTCTCCCCTCACCATCACCAAGCTTCTTTTAGATCTTTAACAACCTGGAATGTTCTATTAAACAGTACAATGCATGAGGTTTTGTGTAACTTATCATTAGACTAACTTTTATGAAACAAAAAGAAAAGGAGTACTTGTGGCACCTTAGAGACTAACCAATTTATTTGAGCATGAGCTTTCATGAGCTACAGCTCACTTAAATGCATCCAATGAAGTGAGCTGTAGCTCACAAAAGCTCATGCTCAAATATATTGGTTAGTCTCTAAGGTGCCACAAGTCCTCCTTTTCTTTTTGCGAATACAGACTAACACGGCTGCTGCTCTGAAACCTGTTTTTATGAAACGATATACTCAAGGGATATATCAGCCTAATAGAACAGCTCTTCCTCCAGGTGTGTTGAGAGCTTTCTTCATTCTTAAAGCTTCCTTTTAAAATCTAGAAATAGTCACATCATCGTGTTCAGATGTCCTTACTATTTGAGCTGCTGTATTTTTTGATAGTACTCACAGGAAAAAAGGCTATCAGTATAAATCTCCATTCCTGGGAGATTAACTAGCAGAAACAATCTCACACAAGGTACATCTGAAGAGAACTAGTTGTCAACTGCTAGCTTGCTTTCATGAACTGAGCATCAGATCTGCACCGTAGGGCTTGTCTACAGAGCCTGCAGTTTAGTCTTCTTTAAACAGAACTACATTAATACAAACTATATACCTTTTTGTTCATGCCCACAGCATCCACATGGGAGAGTTACAGCCCAACACATTAGCTCACACTGTAATTCACACCCCCATAGTCCAAACTGTGGGCCATGTAGACAGCCTGAGATTCCGATCTTAAAAAGACTTGTGCACCGGGTGCTTCACTTTACACACAGTAGCCCCATTTACCTGAATGGGGACTACTCACACAGTGTGAAAAGTGAAAGAGAGAGAGAGAGAGAGAATAGTTCTGTGTGGTAAGTACATTAATTGAGTTCCAGGTAGAAGCCTTACATGCTCAAACATTTCAGCTGTAAGCCTGGCTTCTGAAAGACAATGCAAATGACAGCATGACCGAACGCTGCAGTGGCACAGAAGTAAAACTACTATTAAAATAATTTTTTAAAATACATTTTAGCTGTTTAACCAAACCCTAGCTAAGGTAGCAGACAAATGGTTTTGGAGAAAAACTCAGCAAACAATATGACATGACAGAAGGGGAGACAGCTCTGAGATGATTATTCCAATAAGTGAAAGCGAAGGGAATTCAATGCTACAAATCCTTACATCACATTTGGTCCAAACATTCTGTGTCTCATCAGAGTGTGTGAGATTCCAAGGTGATTATTTTCTAAAGGGCTCCAACAGCAATGGAAAGAGTGTCCACATGGACCCAGTGAGTAGGGAATCTAGATTGAGAATTGTAGCTTAACTTTATTTTGATGCTTTCAAAACCTTACAGTAATGAGCACATCACTTGTGATTACGATGGGACAGCCATACATGTGATTTATGTATGAAAATAAAAACACATCTTAGGAATAATTTTTAAAACAAAAAATAACCTATTCTTGTGGTTTTTGCTTTTACTGCAGTTGACTAAAGAGATGCAGCTGATTTTGGAGTTGGGGTACCATTTATCACAGAGCACTGCTGCTGCAAACATACACTGTGTGTGAACATGCAGAATATTAAAGATGTGTTTCATAAATGTTTTCCTACCCACATTTTGTATGCTGCCTACTGTAGATCAGGCAGCCATGAGACTAGTTTCTCTTTTTGTTGAACTCTAAGTCTTCACATTTCTCTCAACCTATGGCAAAGCAACAATTCTGCCTCCTGAATAAATCACAGAAGCAGAGCAAGCATTAGCTGCTACCTGTTCATCCCTTTCTCTCCCTCTTTCCCTTCTCCCTCTGCAGCAAGGAGAAGGAGAGGTTATCGCCTGTCATAGCTAGGGACATTGCAAATCGTAATTAGATCACAGGAAGCGGTTTATAGTTACTACACAATGCTAGGATTTGTTCCTTGTACTGAGGCTATGAATCTGTAAATGGGATTTTTAGAAGGATTTATGTCATCATCTGTTTTTCTTGGAAGCATTTAATACTTCTAGGGGGAGCTGTGCAAATTTAACAAAAAATGCAAGTGCTTATTTCCTCCCTATTCTTAAAGATCAGAAAGCCCATATAGGCAAGAATGCATTTAGGAAGCAGGTGGGAGAAAGGTGGGTGGGTGAGAGAGACACACACACACACAGACAGACACAGCTGGTTTAAGGGCCCAGCTCCAAAAAGGTTTACAATGAATTACTCCGAGTGAAGCAGAATCTTTCAACAAGCACCCAGCTGGCACTCAGCACTGGGCAAGGGCTTCCCTTTTCATAGCTGTTCTAAAACACCAGACTTGCTCTTGGCCAGACATGAGTCCTCACAAATGCAGTCACATGCCTGCTTCCATAAATACCCATCACAGCCACTGTTTACAAAACAGTACCAGCTTTTTTTTTTTTTTGGGGGGGGGGGGTTGGGGTGGCGCCAAGCT